GGAGATGATGGTCATGATGATGATGATGAATGGTGATGATGATGATTGTGATGGTGGTGATGGTGATGATGATGGATGCTGGAGCGGATGCTGGAGCGGATGCTGATGATGATGATGCGGATGATAGTGGTGATGTTGATGATGTTACTGATCATGGTGATGATGACTTGTAATGATGGTAACGACGACGACAACGACGACGATGACGACGACGATGACGAGAATAGTAATGATGATGATGATGATGATGATGATGATGATGATGATGATGATGATGATGATGATGATGATGATGGTGATGGTGATGGTGATGGTGATGGTGATGGTGATGGTGATGGTGATGGTGATGAGCATGCCAGTGGTGATGGTGATGGTGATGATGACGATGCCAGCATCGACGACGATGACGACGATGGTGATGACGACGATGATGATATGGTTTGTTGCGTCACTGCGTATATGCCACAGTCCGTCGACTCCGCCTGGCCAGGCTTCGCCGCTGAAAGATGTTGCTGCTGCTGTCGATGGTGCTCCACGTTTCGGCACTGTCGCAGCATGCCAGGAAACAATGGCGCGCGTCCTCTTCAGGACCCCGCACCGCGCACCACCGCTCTGGAGACATGCATGCGCCAGCGGGCGGGGTCCACGTGAGCGCCTCGAAGATGATGAGCCCACCTCAAAGGATGGACGCTCATGCCCACTCGCGCGAGCAACCCCGAAGAAAAAAGCCTCCAGGGGCCCCGCTTGAAGAAGGCCTCTACGAGCAATCGCATGAAGAAGGCCACCACGGGCGCCTGCGCGAAGATGACCACCACGACCGCCCACGCGAAAAAGGCCTCTGCGAGCACCTGCATGAAGAAGACCTCCACGAGCACCGTCGCGAATATTACCCCCGCGAGCACCACTTCGAAGAAAGCTCCACGAACACCCGCATGAGGAAGACCCCGCCAGCACCGGCGCAAAGGAGTCTTCCACCAGCACTCACGTTACGAAGAAGACTTTTGTGAACACCCACGAGGAAGGCCCTCACCGGCGCCCGCTTGGAGAGGCCCACGAGCACCCGCCCGACGAAGTCTTCCGCGAGCATCCCCTTGAGAAAAGCCTCAAACTATTACCCGCGCGACGAGGACCCTCACGAGAACCATCGTCAGGAAGACTTCCGCCAGCCCCCGCGCAAAGAAGGCCTCCACGAACGCCAGCGCGACGAAGACCTCCACGTGCACCCGCGCGAAGAAGACCGCCACGAACACTTCCACGAATACGGCCCCACTGGCCCTTCGAGAAGAAGCCCACGAGCGCCCTTCCGACGAAGACCTCTGCGAGTATCCCTTTGAAGAAGGCCACAAGAAATGCCCGCACGAAAAAACCCTCACGAGCACCTGCGCGAGGAAGATTTTCGCCAGCACCCACGCGAAGGTGTTGTAACGGCGGCGGCGCGACCAGAACAGCGTCGCAACGGCGCCCCGGGTGTCACGACGCCACGGGTCGTCGCGGCGGCGTCGCCGCCACGAGCACCAGCGCGATGAAGACCTCCACGAACACCCATGCGAAGAACTCTTCCGCGAACGCACCCACGAAGAAGGCCACCACTGGCGCCCGCGTGGAGAGGCCCGCGAGCACCCCCCCGATGATGGCCTCCGTGATAATCCCCGTGAACAAGGCCTCAACGATTGCCCGCGCGAAGAAGATCCTCACGAGCACTTGAGTGAAGAAGACTACCGCCAGCGCCCGCGCGAGGACGGCCTCCGCGAACACCAGCGCGCCGAAGACCTCCACGAACACCTTCACGACGAAGGCCTCCCCGATTTCGAACACCGCGACGCCGAGGATGAGCTTGAATGCGCGGTAGAGCCCAACGTAGCAGTAGGACCGGAAGCTGATGATCGCAACGCGCACGCAGAAGTGGCCGACCCCAACATGCTTGCGAGGTGGCTTCTCACACCCATTTTCCACCAACCACGAATGACTGATGTGAGAGAACAGAAAGAGGCAGACGGAAACTGGAACCATACGAACGTGCTTCGTAGAATAGGTTTGGACGCAACGCACAGCCTTCTGAACCGTGGGCCACGGGCTGGCGGCGGGGAGCAGAATACCAGGCGCCTTGACCTCCCGAGGAATAGCCTGGATTCCGGATTGCGTAAACACTCGGTGTGTCCGTGGAAGACGTCCGACTTCCACCGTTCCCGTTGTCACAAAGGGACCAGAATAACGAGGAGTAGCGATGATATGGTTTGTTGCGTCACTGCGTACATGCCACAGTCCGTCGACTCCGCCTGACCAAGTTTCGCCGCTGAGAGATTGTGTTGTTGCTGTCGATGGTGCTCCACGTTTCGGCACTGTCGCAGCATGCCAGGGAGCGATGGCGCGCATCATTTTCAGGACCTTTCACTGCGCACCACCGCTCAGGAGACATGCGTGCGCCAGCGGGCGGGGCCCACGTGAGCGCCTAGAAGACGATGGTGATGATGATGAGGATGACGATGATGACGATGACGATGATGACGATGGTGGTGCGGATGATAAGGATGAGGTTGATGTCGATGCTGGTGATGATGATGCTGGTGATACTGATGGTTGTGGTAGCGACGGTGATGGTGGCGATGACGACGATGCTAATGATGACGATGATGAATGGTGATGGTGTTGATGATGACGACGATGCCGATAATGGTGCTGATAAGGATGAGGATGAGGACGATTATGAAAATCACAATGGTGAGAATGACGATGCTGATGTCGGTGTTGATGCTGTTGGTCGTCGTAATGATGATGACGATGATGGTGCAGATGATGATGAAGGTGATGATGTTGGTGATGGCAATGACGATGATGACGATGCGGACATGCAGAGAGAGCTTGCAAGTAGGGGGAGATGGGGGAGGAGGGGGGAGGGGGGGAGAGGGAGGAAGGAGACGCGGGGCGATGCAGGGCTGAACCTAAACGCGGTGTTGTTGGATTTCGGTTGTGTTGTGTTTCTCGTTTTGGCATGGAGTTAACAGGACAACGGGTAGAACAAAACGAAACCCAAACGAACAACAGTGTGTAGGTCCAGCCCTGGGGCGATGCGTATTCAAAACGACGACCCGACACCTCATGATGGTTGGGAACGATTGTCTGTCGATGATTTGGGCTTCGTGGGCCAGTCCTCAGGGCCTCGAAGCCGGTCCTGGGTGCGCTCCAGAGGGTTCCAGGACGGGCCTTGAAACAAGTTTGGGTTAGATTTACGCAGTCTGCATCTATACACCATAGTGGGGCCCAGGTTGGCCCTGCCCAGGCACGGTGGTGGTGTACAGATGCCGTCTGCGAATATATATATATATATATATATACATACATATTTATATATATATATATATATAATGAAAGTATGAATTCCCAACCCAGGCCTTCTTTGGACAACCAGCGTCAAGAGTCACGCGAAAAGTCTCCAGAGATCCGTGAGTTGGGGGTCTTGGCCCCTTTCAGGGAGCGTTCAGCGAAGAGAATCCGAAGGGACCTGAGGACACTCCTCTGAGTGCCCAACGGAGCGGTGGCGGACTCCGTTGTCAAGTAATTAGCTTCATCCTCATGGCCCAAGTGCCCTCCCGTGCCCGTCTCGCGATCGCCATGTGAACCGCCTTGCCGAGAGAGACAACGCGCCTTACACGGCACTCGAAGGGTGCGATCTTTTGAAACCGAGGGTGCCAATGGCATGGGCCTTGAGAACGCTGCGCTGTTTTGGGGCCAGAGTGAGCTCCCTGGAGCTGTTCTGCTCCAGAGCCAAGCGGCCCGCCCATCCTTGAAGCCAATATGCGATTTGCCTGTGAAGGAGACCTTGCATCAGAGAACAGGGCATACTCGGATCATTTGAGCGGGAGCATTCTTACTGAAGGCATCGTAGCACTCAGCTGTTTGGGCCCGGCGCTGCGCAAGGACAGCACAGCTCAACAGAGCTCCAGCTTCTGGTTCTCATTCTCGTCCTCCTGCATTCCTTTTCCGTATGAGGAACTCCTCCCTGTCGCATTCCAAGGCCAGTCGGAAGGGCGGGCCAGGCGTTTCGTCCAAAATTTCATTGCCGCTCATGAGCCTGAAGCTTGAAAAATGACAAAAATTGGCAGGGCTTCACGGATTCAGGGCGGGCGCTTCCAAGGTGGGGTTCTCGCCTCAGCGCCGCGCACACGCGGGAGCTTCACGGACTGAGGGCGGGTCGTTAGCACCGCGCACGTTCGTGGTAATAAAAATTTGCAAGAGTTTAACGGATGGCAGGTGGGTGGTTTGCAACATGGAGTTCCCGGCTTAGCGCCGTGCACGCTCGCTCTAAAAACACACATGAGTTTCACTGATCGTTATGACTAACGAACAAGAGTTAGTGTTTTGGAACAGCTCAAGACTGTCAGGGCGCAACCGTTGCGTCGATTCGCGGTGTTAAAGTCCCAGGACTTCGTCAAGATGCAACAGACTGGTTGACTCGTGGCGTTGAAGTCTTGAGAATAGTGTTTCGGCACGCTTCAGAATTTTCACACGCTTGTCCCCCAACGGGCATTTCCCTCAGTGGAAATGAACCCTTGCTGGGGCCTACGAAGAGGGAGGTTGGAGGGAGGGTGCATTCCAGCATCATTGATAAGTCTTGGGTTTACATTGGTCACAGTCCTCCTCGTCATCCTGCTCCTCCTCCTCCTCCTCCACCTCCTTCTCCTCCTTCTGCTCGCCGAGGCCAGGGGCGCTGTGTTCCCTCTCGTCGCCCTTATTCCCTCATCAGCCGCCCTCTTCGCTCCTCGCTCAGCCTCCTTCTCCAACTCTTCTTCGCATCATTGTTTATCGCACTTCGCCTCATACCCATTCAGAATTCTCAGGTGGTCTGCGAGTTGCCCGGATGATCACCGGTGTTACCAATCTCTCCTTTTCCTCCTGCTCCTCCTTTCCTCCTCGTCCCCATCCTTCTCATCCTTTTTCCTTCTCGCCCCCCTCTCTCTCTCTTTCTCTCCTCTCTCATTCCTGGCTCCACGGCGGCCCCACAGGCCTCTTCTTGGGCTTCCGTGGCGGCGAGACCGAAGCCTAGCCCGAAGGCCAAGGACGGCGGCAAAGGCGCGTCGCCGACTTCGCCGTCAAAGCTGTCGCCGCCCGTGTTCTGGGACACTGGGACCCCAGCCATACAGGCGAAGGAGGGAGAGATGGGCGAGGGGGAGTTTGGGGGAGGAGGGGCGGTAGGGGACAAGCGAGGGAGGCAGGAAGGGTTGGGCCTCGAGGGCGCAAGAGGGAGCGTCCGACCGACAGTCGCCGAGAAGCGAGAGGTGGGGTGGGCACATCTGCCGTTCATCTCCATCTCCACCCGCCAAATTGATACCTTCCCAGTCCACTCGAACGCTGTGGCCCGGAAGGCTCTGGTGAGTGGGTGTGAATAGTTTGATGTTCTTCGCGGAGCCTCGTTCTAGATGTAGCGATTGGTATCAGCCGAAGGCTCGTTAACAATTGGATCCCAGAAGGAAGCACGTAGTCAGGTTATGTTTGGAGAGGAGCGAGTGCTACAGCGTAGCCGAACGATGACAGTCGAAGGGTCGTGCAAGGCTGCGCACGTCGCAGAGGACCTCACCTCCAAAAGCAAGCTGCACGAAGTCTGTGCATGCTATCGTTGCTGGCCTCGTGCTGCGCCTGGGCCTGATATCGCCAGTCAGCCCTGTGACGCCAATTGGCGCAAATCCCATGCTGTGTTCAACTCTGGAAACATGATGTTGCGCCAACGAGTTCATGAAGGAGGAGGAAGGAGATAAGCAAGCGCGAGAAGGGGGAATTGACAACATAAGATGACAAAATAACACGCCAGGATGTCAATCACTATTGCACACCCCATATGCCACCTTTCAGGGGATAAGGGTGTTTGGGGGAGAATGTTCATTTCGATGTGCACTTCGATTGAAAGTCGCGTTACGATTCTACGCACGTTTTGAATGCAGTCGATTGTGCATGTCGAGTTGCATGTTGTTTGCATGTCGATATCTCTGTTGAAGTTCATATCGACGTGCTGGTATACAGCATGTCAACGTGCAGCCCGATAGCATTTACTGGTTGTAAATGTCGTTTCGATGTTCATTCCGATGCGCATGCCAATTCAATTGTCGATGTGTAGCTTGACGTGCAAATTGGTTCGGATGTGATACTCAGGTCGGTGAACATGTCGATGTGCATGTCTATGTAGATGTCGATGTGTAATGTTCATGTCGCTTCGAGTTGCATAATACACACATATATAAATATTCAGTACAACGCGCACCTGGCACCCAATATTGAAGTCCACACTGCAAAATCGAAAAATATCGATCCCGACCTTCAACAGGAAACCTCCGAAACCCGGAATCGAATAAACTAAAAAGTTGAGTTACCAAACTCAACATTGAAAAATTGAATGGTTCAAAGTGAGAGTTTCGATGTTGAAGTTGTGGTTCAACGCTGGAGTTCAAGTTTCAATATTGTATTCAATATTGCAGTTCAAGTCCAAGTGGGGTTTTGAACTTCAATCTTGGAGCGTCCGCCTCGCTCGAGACATCCTCCCAACTCTTGGCGCCGAAGCTCGAGACATTCTCACAACTTGAGCGAAGACGCTCGAGACGTCCCCACAACTCTGGCACCGTCTCGCGAAACGTCTACTCGGGCGCGGCCGCTCTAGACATCCTCACAGCTCTGGCGCCGCCGCTCGAGAGATCCCCACAGATCGGGCGCCGCCGCTCGAGACATCCCCACAACTCGGCACGGAATGAGTGACGGGCGTCGGCTGCGCGACGCTAAGAAAGCGGTCTTTGCGGGCGCAGTGTTGCGGGCGAGCGCTGACGCATGAAAAGGGTGGCTCAAAATGTGCGCGCGTCCAGCCACCAGCAACGCCACCAACACCAACGCCACAACTACCTACACGTTGCTCCCACGCCTTAGCAGGGCAGCCAACATACAAACCCGTGTAGTCGAAAGATACGGGCGCGGATGCAATGGTAGCCTTGCCTTGCCACATAAAGGGGGTCGATACTTTTGGCTCCGACACGAGGCGCGCCATTGCGCACGCATGCCAACGCATGGGCGCATCATACTTTAATGTCCCGCCCGCCCGACCTGATTCACCTGTTGGGGCCTGCCCGCCCGATTCGATCTCTCACGGGGCGCTGAAGAAGGAACCCTTTTCGTTGGGGAGGGGCTCGGTGTTCCTTGATTGTTTCAAAGTTTGTCTCGGGTTTTCCCAAGGTTTTCCATGGAAAATCGAGGTTGAACTTATGGGAAAAAGGGGCCTCGTTCCTTATTTAGGGTTCCTTAGGTCAACGCCCCGCCTGTACTCTAATGTCCCGCCCGCCCGACCAGATTCGCCTGTTGGAGTGTGCCCGCCCGTCCCGACCTCGCCCGCCGTGCACCCCCGCGCAATCCCGACGATACATCGCACGTCAACGCCCCGCCCGACCGACCGGACCCGCCGGTACGGCCCGCTGTTGCCTGACCCACGCGTTAGATTTAGCCCGCTCGATCCGATTCGCCTGCTGCTCACGCGTGGCAGCTCGAGGGCGCATCATGCTTTAGTGTCCCACCCGCCCGACCCGATAGGCCTGCCGGGTCTGCCTACCCGACCCGACCTCGCCCGCCGTGCACGCGTGCCATCTCGATGATAAACCGCACTTTAATGTCCCGCCCGCTCCGGCCAGTCTTCCTCCCTCCTCCTCCTCCTCCTCCTCCTCCTCCTCCTCCTCCTCCTTTTGCTGCTGCTCCTCCTCCTCCTCCTCCTCCTCCTCCTCCTCCTCCTCCTCCTCCTCCTCCTCCTCCTCCTCCTCCTCCCCCTCCCCCTCCTCCCCCTCCTCCAGCTCCTCCTCCTCCTCCTGCTCCTCCTCCTCCTCTTCCTCTTCTTCCTCCCCTTCCTCCCCCTCCTCCTCCTCCTCCTCCTCCACCTCCCCATCACCGTCTGGATCTTCGCCCCTTGCGGGCCCGTCGGCTGGCCCGTGTTGGGTTCGAGTCGTGTGGTGTTGCCGCGCGCCCGCTGTCCACAGAATGATGCTGCTTCATGCGATCCCCTCCGAGGCCTCCGGCGTCTGTTCCCAACGGTGCGCACGTCGCGCTTGAAATGTCATGGAATGTTGTGTGCGCTGATGCTGTGCTGAGGTGTGGTCTGTCCGACCATGATATGTTAATTATGTTATGATATTGGGTCGGGGTGAAACGTGTTATGATATATGTTGTGGCATGGTGTGAGTTGTGTGTGGTGCTATGCTCTGTTGTGTATGGTCCGGTATGGCATGGATTGTGATGTTATGCTATGGTATGGTCCGTTATGTTGTAACATGTCATGCCGCGCTCTGGCATGGTATGACGTGTCATCTGCGTTGCGATGTGAGATGCCATGTTATAGTGTTGTGGGGTTGCGTTATGTTGTGGTGTGTAAAGTCATGGTAGGTTATGTCATGATCGGTGATGCCAGGTTGTGGAATGTTATGACCTGGTATGTTATGCATGTTGCAATATATCATAACATGCGTCGTTATGATGTGTTGTGGTTTGATCCGATATGTCATGTTTCGTGAGGCTATGACATGGTGTGGTTTGCTATATTCAGGTCTGCGATGCCTTCTTATGGTATGAGTGCGTTGTCATTGTACGGACTGCTCTGTGCTGCGATGTTGTGCGATGGTGTACATTACTCTGTCATGTTGTGTTATGTTACGGTATGGTATGTCATGGTTTGGTTTGTTATGTTCGGATATGATATGTTAGGTGTGGGTTGGTATGTTGTGTTCTGGCATAGCTTACAGTGCTGTGCTGTACTATGTTCTGCTATGTTATCATACCGCTCTGCCATGTTATGATTTGTCGGCGCGAGGCGGGACACTCGGGGAGTCTCGGGGGACCTGGGGATCTGGCGGCCGCGATATGCAGAGTGGGCGAGTCGGCGCGAGGCAGGCCACCCGGGGACACTCAGGGGATTTGGCGATCTGGCGTCCGCGGTATGCAGAGTGGCGCGAGGCGGGACTCTCACGGACACTCGGGGGACGAGGGGATTTGGCGGCCGCGGTATGCAGAGTGGAGCGAGGCGGGAGGTCTGTCCTTAAGATCCAACGGCCCCAACCTGCCGGGGTGGGAAAAGCCGAAGATTGCCTCGGAGGTCCAGAGGGTTCCCCGAGCGTAGATGTTCCATCTTGGACCAGTTTTAAACAGCCCTTGCGCCATCAACCCCAGGGCAGCCCACCGATAAACCCACGGGACAGCCACGGTATAACCAACTTAGACTTCCCACGAGGGAACCCACGGGACAACCCACGGGACAACCACAACGCACGTGATAACCCATTGGACAACCACGGGGTAATCCACGGAACAATTCATGGGACAACCCACGTTGCAACCCACGGCACAATTTGCGGGGCAGCCACGGGACAAACATCGCCTACCACGGGACGACCTATGGGCCATTGCATGGGACACTGCATGGGGCAACCCCGCGCCACACCGCCAGACATTGGAGAGCGAGACATGTTGTCCGATTTGGCCGAACCAACCCAGAGCAGGGGAAAGGATGGGGGAAACCCTGGAGCTGGGTTGCGGCGAAAGCTGTGGCCTGGTGTCGCGGCGGGGGGGGGGGGAAAACGGAGAGGGAGAGAGAGAGAGAGGAAAAACAAAGACAAGAAGCACGTGGTGAAGCTAAACTAGGAGCCTTGCAAATGCGACCCGTAGCAGTCACTCGCAGGCTGCACTGGCTCAACGGGCGGACAGCCGCCCATGCTGCCATGCAGCTGCAATGATGCGCGAGTTGGTGAAGTTGCATCTTGTTTCAGTTTTTCGCGAGGCGAGTGAGATAACGGCTCGCTCCCGTGCACAGATGTCCTCGTTCCGTTGGCCATGCCAGCAGCGTGACTCGCGCCACGTCGTGAGCGGCGGTAAAGCCAAGACATTGAAATCAGAACCAGTTTGGGTTCAGGAGAGGCTCTGGCTTTCGCCGTGGCATCGGAAGAATGGACCAGGCTAGGCTGGATCTGGGCTCAGGAGGGACCAAAGCTTTGGAATGAGGATCATGTTGGGTCTGGCTTGGGTTCTGGCCGTTCCTTATCATCCGGGTCGGAGATCCTATTTGTGGCCGCGGCCCACCGTGGCGACAAACAGAGTCCTTCTGCTCCTC